GCCGCTCGCGCTCGGAACGCAGCGCCCCAACCATGGCTTCGGGCCCCGCGGGTAAGGGGTGCGGGGCGCGGGGCGCGTGGGCGGCAGGGGCAGTCCGGGGCCTGGCCCTTACCCCTGGGCTGACCGGCCGCCCTCCGGTCTTGTCACACAGAGGCGGAGACCCGGCAGAGACTGCTGCGCACGGTCAAGAAGGAGGTAGGTGCCGGGGCGGGGGCGGGCGCGGGGGGCGCGCGACCCCCGGGGACGGGGCGGCTGGAGCCACTCAGGAAAGGGGCTCCGAAGCAGGGGTGGCCCCTGGCGGCGGGGGGCGGCCACCCGGACTGTGAGGCTCACCTGGATGGGTATTTACCTTCCAGGGCTGGAGGCGGTGATGGAAGGTGGGGGGGGGGGCAGGGCCCTCAGGGATGAAGGGGTCTGGAGGTTTCATGCCTTGTGCAGAGAGAGGCGGGTGCCCAGTGAGGACCCTCCAGGTGTGTGGCATACCTCAGGGTGTCTGGGTGGGACTCCCTCTTGCGGAAGAGCAGGTGGGTGTAAGCAGTAAGGGGTCTTAAAAGGTGAGACGGTGGAGGACTGCGGTATTGGCAAGACATTTGGGGTGAGAAGCGCTGGTTGAGGCTGCAGAAGGAAGACCAGACTTAAAGAAAAGGAAAGAAATCACTTTGGGAACGTAAAACCTTCCCTCTCCCCAACCCCAAATTCTTAGTCTTTGGTGACACCCCAGAGAACTCATCTCTCTGAGCCTGGGGTCAGCCAGCTGCCACCCTCTAGGTCTGATTCTGTGCTCCTTGCAGACAGGGGCCCCTCACTCTCACCCCACACCAGTCCCCAATTACAGGAGCATAAAAATCAGACAAGGTTCAGCTGCCCTTCTCTTCACTGTCCCAGTGGCCCTGTGGGAGCCCAGCCTAGCCTTGACGGTTCATGACTCCTGCAGCGGGGGAGAATTTATGGTGATGAGGGCTGGGGAAGCATTAGGTGCCTGCACTGCGCGCGTGTGTGTGTACATAGTGTGTACATGTACGTGTATGGGAACATGTCTGTGGGTAGAAAGTGTGGCTCTGGCTATATGTATTTGGAATGTGTTTGCATCTGTCTGGAGATACGTATGTCTATATATTGTGTGTTCATATATCTGTGTTAATATGTTTTTCTGAGCAGGAATCTGTATGTGTTTCTGTGATGCAGGAATCGTGTGAATGAGTGAGGCTGTGATTGTGGGTGGGTGACATGCCAGGCATGAGTTTGTGTGTGAATGAGTGAGGCTGTGACCGTGTGTGTGTGTGTGTGTGTGTGTGTGTGTGTCATAGCCTCCTCACATCACCCTATAAATCTCAGCATGGACACCATCTCTGCCAGCCTCTATCACCGCAGCTTGAACCCTGTGTGTGTGTCGGGGATATTGACCTCCGGTGTCAGTGCCTGCGAGCACGAGAAGGGAGGCCAGCAAAGGCAGCCTGGAGCCGGTTCCTGGGCTGCACTTCCCTGGAAGCGTGGGGTGCCTGTTTCTGTGTGTGGCGTGTCCCATGTTGTCTAGAGTCGGTTCTAGAACGGGCCACATGCCCTCGTTTATTGAATACAGAGACTTAGGAGACACATTGAATCTCTCAGAAAGGCGCCAAGTTTCAGCTCAGCTCTCACAGAACCTGTGGAAATCTGAAGAAAGCTGTCTGAACCCTCTTTGCAACACACCGCACACATTCTGAAGACTGTTTTAGGGATGGTATGGATAGTCCCCACCTGCCAGTGTGTTCAGGTTGAGAACCTGCTGTGTTTATTCGTTCTTTGTTGAACCAAACCTATATGCAGATGTTTTTACCTGAAATGATGCTTTTAAGGAGACGGTTGGTCATTTGGGGTGTGGGGGGGCTTGGACAGAAGAGTGCTTCCTGCCCTGGGCAGGGCCTGCTGGGGCCTCCTTCGCAGCTCCCTCAGGGCTGGACAAGTCCTTCCCCTCTCAAGGACTTAATTTCACCATCTGGAGTAGGAAGCATCGGTGCCCTGGCGTTCTGTCCATGTCGTTTTCTCTTTTGGGTGTTTCCACAGGCCATGCGGGTCGCTTTACCCCTGGTGGCCAGCTGGCAGGGCCTGTATCTCTGCCCCTGGAGCACCTGAGTTTGGAACTTGGAATAAATTTTCTCTGGTTCAAGGGCAAGGCTTTTTCCTGGTCAGAGTGATCTCTTGGCATCCTGTTTGACGCCTGAATAGGACAGGGACAAATCTTATAAGCTTGGGCAAAGGGCCTCAAGGGCCCATGGCCCCTGGTCTGCAGTCAGAAGGCCAGAGTTCCAGGTTGGTGGCCGTTTCTAAATTCATTGTTTCTTGGACCAAGTCATATTAGCAATCAGAGCTTGGATGTACACGGGCTACTTAGTGCCACGCCCTGTGTGCACAGTAATTTTATGAAGTGAGTGAGGATGTTCCCATTTTACAGATAAGGAAACTGAGGTGTGGGGAGGAGGAGGGAGTTGTTCAAGAGCACAGAGCTGAGAAGGGGCAGAGCCAGGCTCTTAGCCTTACACCACAGACATGCCCATCCACACCTGCACAGCCCACTGTCTCAGAATGTGTGAGTCGGTCGCTGCCACTTTGTAGATGAGAAAACTGTGGCTCAGTAAATGGAGCTTCATGTGTGCAGACTCACACCTGTGAGCCTCTACTCAGCTGGGTGCCCGAGGCGCACAGGACTAGTCCATACCCCTCTCCTCTCCATCCTCTGCCTTCCCCTTGTGGCAGGTGTCTCCCACCAGCAGCACAGCCAGGCTCCCGTAGAATGATGAAGGAAGCTCTGTGCTCAGAATCCTGGAGGTCACGTCAGGTATTCCCTCTCCCCCCATTCCTGCCTGTCACAGTCCCACCTGTAGGCTTCTCTGCCCTTTCTGGAAGCAATCCCTTAACCATCCGCTTCAGTAGGTAAGCCAGGCAGAGCTGCCAGCCTTGCGTAGCCCTGCAGAGGCCGAGGGTCTGGGGCTCTGTCTGGTGCTGACTGGGAGCTGATTAGGCATTTCAGGAAGGAGCTGTGAGCTCAGCCAGAGCTGGGTTCAAATCCCAGGGCATGCACTGCTGAGAGGTGTCTGCGTGCCACATGCTGGGATACAGCAGTGCAGAAGGCCCTCCCCTTGAGGCCAACAAGATAGACCCAGAGAGACATTTCAGATGTCATTAAAAATATAATCACAGGCTGTGTGCGGAGGTCTGAAGGGGAGGCACTTGGTGCCACAGGGACATGTCACAGGGAGACATAACCACGTGCGGGGTGGGGGTGGGGTAGAGGGTCCGGCTATGTGAATGATGAGGCATCCTCTCAGGTAAAGCTGTGGGTGGGAAAAGACTGGGGAAACAGCCCTGGCTGGCAGATCAGGATGTGTGGCTGGAGGGAGCAGAGGGAAGGAGAAGGGGAGTGCACATGATCTGAAGAGGGGGGAGGACAGGACTGTGGAGGGAAGAGCTGAGGTGGGTTGCACTTAGTTACACAACCTTGCACGCGCATCTACCTGCACAAGTGTCCGAGTCTCATAACGGCCACGAAAATGTCTTAGCTGCCAGAATAACACCCATGAACACACTCCCTGTGTTAGCTGCCCCTCCAGGGCAGGCACCTTCTCCCATTCAGTCCCCAGAGCCACCCATCCAGGGAAAGCTGGGGACAGCTTGGCCTCAGCGTGTTCCCTTCAGCGAAATACAGCCAGCGCTCCTGGCGCTTTCCTGGCTCTCCTTCCCCTCCCCTCCTTCTCCCTCTCCTCCTTCTCCCTCTCCACTGCCACCCCTTAATTTTGTTTTGGTTCCCAGAGCCAGCAGGGACTGGCTTCCCGTTGCCATGACAACTGCCATTAAAGGAGCCAACCACGTGACTCAAGTTGATAACGGAAGCAAAGTGACTAACTGCTTGTTTTCCTGTCTCCAGGCTGGGTCTGGATATCTTAATTGGAGGCGAGAAGGCAGGGGCTCGGTCTTACGGGCTAGAGGAGAGGGAGGCGAGGCGATGAGGCAGGTCCTGGTGCAGAAGCTATGTTTAGCTTTGCAAATGAGAGCTGGTATGAGAGCCACAGTGGGGAGCCATTTTTATAGCAGCTGAACTGCCAGTGTTTGGGGGGCTGAGCCTCCCTGGGTGAGAGAAGTGGGGTGGGGGGAGGGCAGAGCTGGCTAAGAAGGTTGATGGCAACAGGTTACAACAGGGACCCTGTGGTAGTTTCACTCTCACCCAGTGGTTCTTAGTGAAGGAGAAGGGCAGTCTTGCCCCCCACACAGGTTGCACAGTCATAATTTTGTAGTAGAAGTATGTATTGCTAAATCGGGGGCTCGCCCCAGGGCCTATGTCTGGAAACATTTTTGGTTGTCACAACTGGCGCTGTTACTGGTATCTAGAGGAAGAAGCCGGGTGCTGCTCCCCTTCCTGCACAAAGAAGATGGCCCTCCACAAAGAAGGACCCCGCTCCGAAGGCTCTCATGGGCTGGCAGAGGCAGTGGTAGGTCGCCGTGGCTAGCCCTGGACAGGACATGCACTCACGGTCAGGTGTGTGAGGAGGGAAAAGCAGGCAGGAAAATCCCTCAGCCCCACTGGGGAAGCTCAGGCTCCAGCACTTGCTGGATAGTGGGGAGCTATAGAAAATTTGTTAGCAAGAATGGATCTTCTTGGAGTTGAACTTCAGGAAGTTTCTTTCAGTGTAGCAGAGGTCAGATGTACTCTTTTTCCCCCGTTCTTAGGATAAAACATGCTCCCTCTTTTCCTTCCTCCTCTCCTCCCCTCTCCCTTTATGGCATTGCTTTTTCTTTGACAAATATTTCTTGAACACCTACTGTGTGCCAAGCTAAGAGTTCTACAATCAGGGATGCAGGGTGTGCCCACACAGAAGCAAAGCTCTGATACCTGCTGGCCGTACATTTCTACGGTCCACAGGTGAAGGGCTCAACCCAGAGACTTTCTCCTCCCCCCAGCTCCAGATGCCAGTCAGCAATTTCAGGTCAATAACCTGGACTTCTCATCTCCCTCCCTTCTGCGAATCGCGCTTTGTTGGAGCCATTCACAGAACTCGGAGAAGCTTCTTACTTACTGCACCACTGATTTATCAGCAGCCATGTCACTCAGACACAGACAGTCCAAGGAGATGCGTGGAGCAAGGTATGGGGAGGAACTTGGAGCCGCCCTGTCCACTGTGGGCACACCACCCTCCCAGTTGTTCTCCAACCCAGAGGCTCTC